AACTGGCCCCAAAAGCCCCTCCAAGAAGGTTTCTCTCCTGGGTGCTGGGCAGAGTGGGCTCTTGGACACAGTGGCTTCCCCTGCCTGCGGTTCCTGGGGATGTATTTTTGGTGATTTCTTGACTGTTTGCAAAGTTCAGTCACAACCAGATTTAGTTTGAAGTTGTCTGGTCTTCTTCTGTAGGTTTCTCTTGTGCATGCAGTGTGCTGTCTTGCTTTTAAAGTGTATGTGAAGGGTAAGTAAGTCTGGGTCAACACCATTGCTCATATAAATGTATGTTTTTAAAAGTAGAGAGGCATAGGGAAGTATCAGAGCAAAACATCTGTGCCCAACTGGTCACAGTGCAAAAAGCAAACCACACAATTTATTTCATCACATTTAAATTTAGATGTCCAACTCTGATCATGCCTTCTTACATTGACCTCATGGTTGATAGGAAGAAGTGGGACCTTCAAAGTGCCTTGGGGCTGACCTGTTTCAGTTTTGTATTTTATAAGAACTACCACACAGAAATGCTTTCCTTCACTGCTGCCACTGCCGCCTCCTCCTTTTCTTGCAGAACCCCTCAGCCAGCCAGTGCTGAGGAGATTAGATATAAATGTGTACCTGAACTGACTCATGATTGCTTAGATAGTATTTTTATTGTTTGGGTTGGGTTCTTGTCTGGGAAAATAATGCATAAATAGATACTCACTATTTGAATTAATGAAGATGCAGTTCAGTATAAGAAAGTACTAATTACAAGTAATTTGCTATTACCTGTATTGACATTTATTAGAATGTTAGTAACAGGAAGTTTTACTTGACAGTTTCATGAACATGTTCACATCTGTAGAAAAGTGACCATTTTGCAGAATTGAATTTTCTGGTTAAAAAACAGTAAAGTGTTTCATCAAGTGTTCACTGTTAATCATATGGTATTAGTGGAACTACATGTCTCAGTTCAGGAACGTCTCTTTTTTTTAGTGTTTCTCATAATAACTCTCTGCAAGCTTTTAAGGTGTTTTTGCTTTTACTTTAAACATGTTCTTATTCTTAGGGAGATCATATTAGTAGCTAAAGTTTGTCAGTTAGTTTGCTTTTTCTTGCTGATGATCACAGAAGGAACAGAGAATTATTAACTCAGGTGGCTGTGAACAAAGGAAGGAGTTGCCTGGCTGTTAGAATTTTTTCCCCTTTTTCTTTTCTCTCTTTTTACTCCTTTTCTCTTTTTCTTTCTTTTCCTTCTTTTTATTCCTTTTCCATTTTTCCTTTGTTGTCTTCTTTTTTCTTTTTTTTTTTTTGACAGCAAAGAATAAACCCTACAGAGTTGCTATGTTAAAAAAAAAAAAAATGCACTACTCTGTTTTATTTGTCTGAGCTTTGAAGTGGTAGATGTGCACCAAACTTGAAAATACTGTAACCATTTAAACTCCTAGAGTTGGACATTTCTGAATCTCTTAACAGCCCTTTCTAGGTCTCTGGTTATACTGATATATCATGTGAAGACACGAAAAATGTGGGGATTATCTTGAAAAGCAGCCAGTCAGGAGATTGGTGGGGAGAGATAAAGGGGGAACACAGAAGGATCTCAGCTGTGATGGGAGAGCAAGTACAGCAAGCACTGGAGCTGCCTGAGAAAGGAGGGCCAGGACGGGTGGGAAGAAGAGGTATTGGTAGACATGAAGGAAGGAGATGTCAGTGGGGAAAACCAGAGAAGGCAGCAAAAGGTACTTTTGGCAGCAAGGAGACTGAAGCATGGTGGGGGACTGAGCACCTCCAAGTCCAGGGAACCACTGCTGAGACGGAGGAGGGCTGGGATGTGCCTGTTTGCAATTAGAGACTAATAGCAGGACAAGGAGGGAGACAAGGAGCAGTTTATTTAAGGCAGTGAGACTGAGATGACATTTAAGGGACAATGAAGAGGCAGAACTGTTGGCAAGAGGCCAAGAAGTCACTAGCTGGATAATCAGAGCTTCCTGGAGAGATATGTTAATGAGAACAATGTTAAGATCAACCCTCCAAATCCTTCAGGAGTGTTTTCTTGGTGGTAGTTTTGGGGATTTAGTTTAATTTGCCAAATGAGCTGTCTGTTTTCCTTTCATTAATCAGCCAGGCAAAGAATAGAGAAATACTATTTTGTGCTTTGGATTGAAAATGTTCATGCTGATGCCTTTGTGAGACACTCAGGCTCTGTAAGCTGCTTTCACAAGCAGCTTGAACACATAAACAAGTACTATTTATCTTATAATGAAGCCATCTTTTCAAGAAAGAGAGGTGAAAACTATGACTGTAGGAGTTTTAACAGCAGCTTGGGCCTTGGCTTGATGTACTTGCACCGTCAACCTTAATTAGGCAATCTTTAACTGCGAGACTGGATGCTGTATGTTTTCCTTCTACTTGCAGTGCCTTGTTCTGCAATTTCTCATTGACTTCATTTAGTGCTACACTACTGCTACATAAAGGACACCTTTACTGGGAAGAGTGTCAGGATTGAGGGGTTCATGGACATACTCCATACACTGATGAGAGAGGTCTTTGCAGAAGACCTTCAAACATTCACACATTGTCTGGTCTGTAGGAAATTAACTTTAAAAACAACCTTTCAGTGTTGAAGCCCTCTTCAATAGCTTTGTACAGTTCCTGATTTCATGCCTAACTTTGGAATGAAATCAGGTCTGAAGTTTGCACTTGTGTACGATTGGAAAAGTACATAGGCTTGTGAGAATCAGCATTCACCAATTCACAAACATCCTATTGCTTTGCCCACTTGGCTTGGCAGCTGTTTTGAAGGTTACTGGAGAAGGCAGGGGATAGGGAATGAAACAATATAGCTGGAGAGGTAGTTCAGCCTGTGGTGATGTGTGGGGAGAGGGAATGTGTCTGGGGAGCCTGCCTTTTGCTAGCAGTACTGTGGCAGAGCCAGTCCCACAGCAGATTCAACCAGCTGGGTCTTCCTGCTCCAGCTCCTTCCGAAGCATCCTGGTTACTTTTTCCATTTCTTTTTTTTAATAACTGATAACTGATTAACTATACAGACAAAATATTCTGGCATTTAAAAATGTGTGCTGCTTCTATGTTGATCTCTTATCTGAATAGACTTTGCTTCCCTAATTTGGACAATGCAAGCTTTAGCAGTAATTATCTGTTCATTTCTATGAACACAATTTTTCCATGTTGTTCAGCATGGAAGAATCCTTTCTGAGAAAATTCATAGAGTAAAATAGAGTAAGTCAATAACATTGCCTCATACAGCCCACATTTTCAACTTCTATCAGTCAGTTCCTTGGTGAATAGTATTACCTGCACTTCATAGTTTTGAAATTGAAGCAGAAAGTAACATTTAAAATGTTCCCTAGTTTCGGTATATATTGATGAGTATTTATCAGTGTAAGTTCTGAAAGTGAAACAAAAGTAATATTAAACATGGTTTTGGCATTTGCCCAAATTCTCCCCGTATTTCCCCATGGCAAAATGGAAACAGGAAGGAATCCAGACGTTCCTTTGTGGTAAACAAAATAAACTGGATTTCTTCTCAAGTTCAAAAGTGACAAAACTGAGCTGTTCTAAATCCCCTTCCTGAGATTCTAGATAAATGACACAGATTGTAGTTGCTGTCCCTTGCAAAGGGCAGCCGTTGTGCTCTTTGTGGTAACTAGCTTTTCCATTACTTAAGCAATGACATATTTAGCCATTTCGTACACATACAGCTCTGCTTGCAAGAAAGCTCCAGAACTCTCCCTGTGCCTGGCTCTGCAGGGCTCACCCCTCACCCTACAGCTGTGGTCAGCACCTGAGGGGACAGTGTATTCCTTTATAGACAATTACTGATTGCTAATCCGCACCTCCATGAGAGGTTCGTGGTTCATGCAATGGCTGTTGTGGTTCAGGTAGTTGCCAGCAAAAGCTAGAAGTGCGTGTGGATGGTCTATGCCCATTCCTTAGATGACTTTGATCAGAGTATTTTGCAAACCACTGTTGATTGCTGCATGGCCAGGATGGGTTGGACCTGGGAATGGGTAGGAAGAGTGAGAGTATCAGTTTATTTTGTCAAAGTTTTTCTGTATAAAATAAAAAGTGCAACTTCATCTTGGGATCACTGACAAACTTCCGATGTTGAACATAAACCAGGCTTTTGCAATGTCATTTCTGTACCTCGGGAGCAACATACACATTAATACAGAATTAATATCACTAATGAAATCACTGTCAAGGTCTTTCACATATCACCCATCTCCCAAGTTCCCTTCCAGCCAAGGAAATGGAACAGTGGAGGGGAAGGTGCCCAACAGCCAGGAAACCTCAGGTGTTTATTTCAAACTGTGCTTCCAAAACAAGCAGCCCTCACTCTTTGCAAGATCATTTTTAATCCACTTAACAGCACACATATCTGAGAACTGACTGTAGCTATATCCCGCTCTGCTGAAGGTGGGGCTTTCTCTGCTGAGACAGGATTTTGGCACAATACTGCATGGTCTCTGGGAATGGTACCTAGGTTTTAATTTGGATTGAGAGGCGCTAAGTACATTCTTACACATATAAGATGCATATTATACAAACCTCTGTATATAAAGCTCTAGCTGCTAGGCTTCAGCACATGGTGAATGGCGAATAAGGTAGCTGAGAGATGATGCCTTCTGTCAGATGTTCAATCGTAGGGGTATTGTACCAGCTGAAAATCAGTGCTTTTTAATGAGGGCACAACTTAAGAGATACTTTTTGAAACACTGCCTAACAGTTTTTGTCTGTGAAGCACAACATAATCTGTGTTAGAATCCCACCTTACTAACATGCACAGTTCATTCTCTCCTGGTGGGCTGCAGTACAGGAGTTGGGTCTCACACCACCTTTTTTCAAATGCAAACCCACAACAGCTGTGAAGTTAGGGGCAAAACTTCTGGAGAGATATAAAGGTAGAGATTTTAACAGAAAGTTTATATACAAAGATATTGGAATCTGATACTGCTCCCTGATTAGTGCTCACTGGTGCAGAGGCTAGCTTAGGAAAATTCTCACTTCTGAGAGTGGGCTTCTGTTCTGGAATGAGTAATGTCAGAGTGCAGGGGAATGCAAGAGACTGTGAGAGTAAAATCAAGTGATTTTCTGTTATGGTGAAAGCAGGAAGGACAACATTCAAATCCATAAAAAACATTGAGTTACCACATACAGATCATTCTGTCTTGCTGCCCTCATATACCTCCCTGTAGTTACAGGTATGTGGACGGCAGAGGAGGTTGGAAGCTAGAACGAGTATTAAATAGAAGTGAAATCATAACAGAAGGAAAATAAGAAAGTGGAAGTCAGGAAAATAAATAGTAAAAACCAGCCAATTTAAAGTCTAACACTGAAATGGAACTTTGGATATTTGGAAACTGAAATTGTATTTTAAAATATGATCATGGCCATCCAGTGGCCACTTGAAAGATGTTCGACATCTGTATAAGGAAACCTGATGAACAGTGTGCTCTATCTTTTAATTCTGGAGAACTACAGTTGTGTAAAAAGGGTTAGAATGTAATTTTAAGCAGGAAACTTACTCCTGATGATGTGTTACTTATAACTTGCTAAGAACTTACAAATTTGATAGGTGAGTAACTGTTGTTTGTATGCATATACTATATGGTAGACATTTGTATCTTCGTTCTTTAATTTTCTCTTCTTAAAATGCACATTAAATTGCGTGTTTAACCAACATTATTAGATTGTTTTCATTTACCTGTTGTAATGAATGCTACCCACACTCTTGCAATATATTTTTAGTAAATAAAAGTTAGAAACTGTATATATTACGAAACAGAACTTTGGGCAGGCAAAGGTCAGAGCTTCTGCAGGACCACATTACGTAATTTGAGGCACTTTCTCTCTGTAGAATTCATGCACTGGGTCACTCGGTCTTAAGCACTTATCCAGGGGATCATAAAGTGGATTAAAATAGCCCAGAACTTTCAAAACATGCTAAGCATATGCCATCCCTCCCCTACACCAAGCCACAGCATCACCTCTTGCCCAGGCAGTCCCACACCTCTCCAAATACGTTGTGGAAGGAGATACCCAGGCAAACAGAGACCTGCAGGGTGTTTTGGTCATATGTCTGGCCATGCCAGCCCAGGAGAGACCTTTCCCTGCTCTCTGGTGGGAGCACCTGCCCCTCCACCATTCCCCTTGGTGCTTGCTGCATGCCCACCTCTCCTGCAGCACAGCTTCAGCCACAGGCCAAGCCAACAAGCCTTGGCATGGAGAACCAGCGCAGGCTGGGGTGGGGACGGTGCTCCACTGCATGACATGATGGTCTGCATCCACCTCAGGGTGCTACCCTCTGATTTTAAACCAGTAGAAATAACATATAAACTGGTTGGTTGGTTGGTTGGTTGTTTTTTTTAATCTTTTGACTTGTGTTCTAGTGCAACTAACAACACTTGTTAAACAACAACATGAGAATTACAAGGTGCAGCTGGTACATCCACAGCTGGGGATTCTTACCAGTGTGAACAGGGTGTCTTTTGCAACATGTTGAATTTTCAGTCCTTCATCTCTCCAGCAGGTTGAAGCATGTAAGCACCAGATGGGGCCCTTCTGATATACAGGACCTTGTTCCCTTCACTGCTGAGGGCAGCAGGCCTGGAGGGCAGCCCTTGTGCTGGACTTCTGCAGCAACAGAGCTGGTTTCTGGTAATCTGTAGCTCACCCTCACAGTATTAGAGGCTTTGCACAATTCAGTTTTTGCTTCCACAGCTCTGTTGTGCTGAAAACACTGAAATGTAAGCATAATAATGAGCCACATAATAAACCACTTAAGCAGTGCTTTAAATATTAGAAGTGTCATTTGTCTTCCTTCTTCTCCTCCCATCAGATCATTTTGCATCTCCTTCATATTTTTGATTCAATATTGGGCTGATATTACATTACTTGACCTGACAGTAAATGAAAACCAGTTATAGTAGATGTGAATAAGTGGTCAGGAGTAGGTAACATTTATGAGAGAGTTCCTCAGAAACTCATATCAGAAACCACAGAGCTGGGTCTCTATCATTGGAGGTTGAGTGACCCAGCCATTGGAGGCTACTGATATGTTCAAAAACTGCTTTAGTGGGGCTGGGGGAATGCCAAAATGATACGGCTGACTGCCATTCCTCATGAGATCATAGAGTCTGTGATAGAAACTGAAATCAAGGGACGTATGGAGAACACAATCTGTTGTGAAGGTGGTGGAGAGGCTCCAGTGAAGTCTGGCATAATTGACATTTGGAGGAAGGGTGGTAAGTATGCTGATAAAGGGGGTCGTGTGGGCATAATAATCCTCTTGCATTTTCAAAAAGCCTTTGAGAAGCTTTTTGCAAAGCTTATTAAAGTTTGTAAAGAACCTAAGTTGCCGCAAGATTGGATGAGAAGTTGGGTTTTGGGCTGAAAGCTGGTGTAAGAAAAGGAAGAACAATGAAGGACAGGATGTAGTCACATCAGAAGCAGTGAGTTTCTCATGCACCTAAACTTGCTTATCGCATCAGCAGCAGCTCTGTGCCACATGCAGAGTCAGCTAATGACAGAACTTGGCAACAGCGCTGAATCCAAATACATTGAACCCCTTCACTGTCCTAAAAATATAGGCCAGTTAGTCACATGTGAATCAGTGCAAGTAAGGATACAGCTTCCACAAGTTTTAAAAAACCCTTCCTCCTGGACTTGGCTGCAGTTATGTCTTCGCCATGAAAAATGACATTATCCTTTTGTCAGCAAAGACTGCGTATTTGTTTTCATTGTTTGTCTGAGATACTAGCTAGAAAGCTTCCATAGGGATAATTTGAAACAAAATAGTAATGTCACAGTGTAAAATGCGTGAGGCCAAATATGCCTTTGTTTTCTGAACCCTGTAAAAGACTCCCTTTACTGCTGTTTTGTCTTTGGTCAGCAGCAATGGGAACTGCCTTCTGGCTGAGAAGTTTGTTGATACAGGATATTTGACTTCCAGTTTGCCAAAGAGTGGTGCCCTCTTAAGCAATCTTCATCTCTCCTTTAAATGGATCTTTATGGCTTTTCCTTTAAGTGCCCATGTAACTTGCAGAATGCATCTAGATAGGGGTGCCAAGAAACTTTTCTGTCCCTGAGGTTTGTCACCCTGCAAAAATAAACTCATTTCCTTTTCTACTTTTTGCTTGTTTGTTTGAAATGTATTACAGAGTCCCTCAGCAATGCAGAGAGAAATGGGGTTATAGACCTACTTCCACAGAAGAACAACAAATGGCACTTTCATCCAGTTTTAGTGCTTACCTTTTAAGTGTTGTTTTGAATTTGATCTCTGAAGAGTTACTAAAACACTGTGGTGTTTCAGGCTGTTACCTTTAGGTGCTGTTCGCAAGGTGAGATGAGTGCTACATAATTTGCCAAGATTCATGTTTCCAGCAGTTCTAATTAGTTTCCCAGGTGGTTCAAGGAAGGAGTGAAATGAAAGCCGGTATTTTCTGCCACCCTCCATCTCTGCCTCATACACTTGGGCAGAACTAGGTCCACAGCAAAGACTAAGCTATGCTAATTGGAGCTATGCTAATTGTGTTAATTGGGTCACTTCTCATTATGGCTGCCTTATTTACTAGCCTGTATTTTCTGTGTGTTGTGTGCGAGACTGCATGTGTATACCTATCACAGAATCAGAATGGTTTGTGTTGGAAGAGACCTTGCAGATCACCTATTTCCAATCCAAGTATGTAAACATATGTATGTGTATATGTGTGTGTATATTTATTTGCTTATTTAGCTACACTAGGTTATGCTCACTAGTATTGTAAAGAACATTTCTCTTAAAGGTTTCCTCATTTTCAACAGCTAAACCACTACAAATTCAAATTTAAATATTCAAACTTCTTTTTCTAGGAGGGAAACAGAAAGAAAACCTCTACCTGTCAGCTTTCTAAGGAAAGCTAGATTGAAAAGCAGAAGAAGCTGGCATGTGATGAAACACAGGGAAACAAAAGTGTTGGTAAATTATCTGTTGGTTTGGTTTGCATTATGTTTGGCTGGATTTTTTTTTTCAGTAGGCCCTGTAAAATTTGTAATAAAAAATATAAATACTATTTGAGATCATTAGCATAAAATATATACTAATGTTCATGATTTCTAAAAATGGCTCAGCCAGTCAATACACTATTGGCATAAAACTTTGGCAGTAGCATCAGTTGTCACCTCCCACATTTTTCCATATTGGAATAGTATCTTTCTCAGAGTATGGACTCTTGCAGGAAAAGGTCTGTTAATTACTCTCTTGACAATCATAGTAAGACCTGTGTTGGATGAGTTCTTGCCTGGGGGATCAACAGAAGCATGTGTTCACATAATAGGGAGTGTTTATTTATCATTTAGGGTACCTAAATATTTTTACTCTGTTTTGTTGGGTTTTTTCACTCTAATGTGCAAGCGTTTTCTGACAGAGAACATGCCACTCTAGGATGGATTTGGTCTCAGGTATTTGTGTTCATTTTATTTCAATTACAGAGTGTCCATTTCGAAAACAGTGCTTTAAACATCATGTGTATGCTAAAAAAACCACATGCATTTCAGAAATAGCCTAATTATGAAAAGACAGATGTTATTTAACGACAAGTTTAAATACTTTAACTGAGGGTCTTTACACTGCTTTCTTCTCCCACTGTGACAGTCCCTCGCTGCTGGTCTCCCCTAATAGCACAGCGGAGCTGTGGCAGCGGCTCAGTGTTATCGTAGTGGTCCTTCTCCTGCAGGAGCCTGGAAGACAAGCACTGCCTTACCACTCTGGGCAAGCGCATTTGTTTGCCTCTGCTGACCCAGCTGCTCTGTGTCGGCTCTGCAGCAACGTCAGCTTGCTCTGCCCATCGCGTGTGCTGCGCTCCTGCTTTCGGACGTCAGGATGAGATGGCCGTGAGTGCCCAGCTGGACGCTCGCCCTTATGCCTGGAGTTCACCCACAGCTGCTGAGCAACGCAGCCACTGCTGCCTGGGCTGCTGATACTGCTGCTGCTGCTGCCGCATATCTGGCGTGCGGCTGGAGCCCGGCGCTGCGCACGGCAGGCACTTAGCCAGGCTGGCTGCAGGCGAGGGAACCCAGCAAGAGCTCTGGAGGTCACAGCAGCGGGGCTGAGCGTGGACGCCAACAAATACAAATCCAAGCCAGCTGGGGATTTGTAATGTAAGCAGCATTTCCAGGTTTCTTTTCCTCTTTGCTCTCATGCTGCTGTTGGAGTTGAGATATGTATGTGTTTTGCTGTTAATTACGGTGGAAGGGGTGTGTGTGGGGGGTTGTAAAATCTAGGGAGGGAAGAGGATTCTGAAGGATTGATCTGTTTAGTTTTGACTTAAGGGTTTGGATTTTTCATCCCTGCCCTTCGTGTTTGTTAACACAGCTTTGTCTTTATTTTAGGTCGGTTAATATTGCAGCCTTTGGGAATGAAAGAGATGGGCCTTCTGGGGACAATCAGCAGCCAAGCCTGATCTGGAGCTATCTCAGGAGAAGTGCTCTCATTTCTGAGACTGACTGCAGCTTGTCTGCCAGTCACGTTGGAAACCCAGCTTTTACTGAGTACCGAGCCTCTGTGTTTGGAAATGTCAGACTGGTGGTACGTGACTGTCCTGTCTGGGTAAGAGATCAGTCTCTGTCTTTTCAACTGCACTTGACAGTGTAAGCTGTTTTAATAGGATGAAAATACATCTTAATTTTATATTAATTTTTTATTGACAGATTTTATTCACATTGTACTTATTACAAATAAGAAAAGCACATAAAACATAAGCCAGCAAATGCTGCAAAGTCATAGGAGCTGCAGAAGGTTTCTCATTAACAAGCTGCTGCCCACCTCCTCTGCAGGAAGGTGATATTTTCAGCTGTGCTATTGAGTGAAAACTTTATTGAAGATAATCTGGAGGCAAACAAGAACCTCCTTTTTGTGACACTGCATCACAAGAACTCCATCCAAATACTGATAAACAATAAAACAAAATGCATATATATTTTTTTCTCTAAAAATGAAAAGGCAGTTAGTTTTCTGGCTTTGAAAAATAAATTAGAAGACTTGATATCTTGTAAAAAACTGCATATGGAGTCATTTTACTTCTGTTATAATGAGAAAAATCACATTTTAACATTATTTCCTTTATTTGAATGTAAATAAAACGGATTTTGGCACTGTTCCAAGTTGTTAGCGCTTTCATTGGTAAGTGAGAGACATTAGTTATGAATATGAGCAGATCAATGATTGTGTAAGAAATGATACTGGTAATCTAAATTAAAACATATTGAATGACTAATTAGTAGCCTTAAAAAAAATTTAAGCTTAGCAGCTTTTAGAAATTACAACAATAAATCAGTTTCAGCTCCATAATTCTATCCTTAGTTTGTTTTTTGCTGTCTTACAAGGGAAACTGTTTTGGGGATCTCCAGGAATCGCAATAGTTCTAGAAATACATACGGTTTGTGATCTTAAAACTCAATAGCTACCCTTCTGCTCTGTGCTTCGCACGCTTTTTTTGTCAGCTGCATTTTCCTGACACTGGTTCAGGTGGACTGAGGGATTCTGGGTTTAGTCTTTGAGCTACATGTGACCTGCACATGCAGTTTGCTGGAGTCATTGGAGCGCAGCAATGAGTTAAAGCTCCTGAATATCAATTAAGGCAGTGTGACTTCAGCAGGGCATTTCAGAGGATTGGAGGGTGAGAAGTCAAGCAGGGATAGATGGAGAAGGGGAAGAAAGAACCTGCATTGGAGACACAGTTCATGTGTTTATGTTTTTTACATTTGCATTTGCTCTTCTACAAAACAGGGTTTTTTTGTTCTGGAGAATTTATTTTTGCCCTTGAACGGCTAGCTTGGTATTGTCTTGGGCCTTGTATATGTTTCTGAGGCCTCTTGTGCTTTTTCACTCTCAGCTAAAGGAGGCAAGAGATTAGTGGGAATGATGAGGAATAATTGGCATGTTTTACTTAGTAGACTTCTCAGGTAGATGGACTAGAGGACATTACTCATTCTGAGTGAAGCTGTCTTCCTGCTGTGGTTAGGTGGAACAGGATTGTTTTCCAGAGTCTGGATGCTTGAAGTTTGTTACATCAGGGTTGTCCTTTCAGGTCTGTTCATCTGGTAGGCTGGGGAGATGGTGCAGGACATTTCAGAGTGTTAGCTGACACTGCCTCAAGTAATTGACTTTTCTTCATCGAAAAGGATTCTTGCTGCAAGTTACTGAAACATAGAGGTGGTGGTATGGTGGGCCTTGCATTGTTTCCACCTCTATCATGTGAGTGTAACATAAAGGCAGATTTGCATTTAAATGAGATTTGTATCTCATCCAGATTAAATTCACATGATTAAGGCAAGCCAGTCCTAGACATAAATTTGGTAATGAGCACACTGATAGCTTTGAATCTCCAGACTCAAGGGTGCTCAGCTGTTGTCCTCTACAGCTCAGTCTGGAAAAGCAACATGGATGCAAGTCTATCAAGTAGAGATCCCCAGTGTAAGGAGGGACCCTTCAGTAAGACAAAATGTGGTACAGGTGAATTTGCTCATGCTTCAGTCCTCTGCTACGTGTTTCTGTCAAGCTAGGACACTGCTCAGCTTTGTGAATCTGCAGGAGAGGTCAACAGCTCAAGTGTCTTCCTGATACTTCCTGATACTATCTTATAGGATATCTTATACTGTATGCTATGTATCTCAGATGGCTGCAGTGAAGTTTTCCAGCAGCTTCCAGTGCCAGTGTGCTGATGGTTTGGAGAAACATGGAGGGTCTGGACCATATGGTCAACACTGCTGTGTTGAGATTGTCCTTTTGGGCACATGACCGGTAAAGAGCAGCACTGCTGCCATGGGAGTGTGGTATTTCACAAGATGAAGGTGAATGAAGGTGACTGCCAAACTGCAGAGCTAGGAAGCAAGGCTTCTTGGGCATGACTACCCAAGGCAATGCCCATCAAGTGTTACAGACAGACACGGGGAAATGGTGTTTCCAACCTGCTGTGAGACTGTGCTTTCACATCTCCATAAATATTTTAACTGCCTGTGCAGTTACTATATTCTTTGTTATTGCTTGGCTTAGGAAATGGCATGGACAAAATCATATTTGCCAATGTGTAAAACAGCATCAGCATGTTGTGAAAAGCTCGCTCTCATGGTAATTGCTGGGTGCAGGATGGAAGTGCTGAATTTAGGGAGGGTGTTATTAATGCAGATGAAACAGGATCATAGAGATAGGGGTAGAGCATACCTTTAAAAATCTGGAGGAAAATGCCACTGTTCCCAAAAGTACACTGATCTTCATGTGTCAGTCACTAGGTATATCACTATGGCCCACTGTGTCCTTCACTGCTCTTGCAAAGCTGTGTGCTGGTATCTCTCACAAGGACGGGACAGATATACAAGTGGACCCATGTTCTTGTGATTCACATGGCTGGAAAATGTTTTGACAGAAAGTGCAGACCTAAGATGGGAGAAGATACAACGAACTAGGGGAAACACACGTGTACTAACAGCCACGGTGAATACTGTGATCTTATTAGCTGAGCAGTTGCTAATGCATGCTCAAGTTGTGCTCTCATAAAGCATATTGAACTATCATATCCCAGATTTTCTAAATTGGGGATTGAGAATAAACTACAGTATAGGAGCTAGTAACTTAAAAGGAGTAAAGACGCAAGATGAATTTTAAGATTTTCTTTGCAAAAGGTTGATTTATTTAGCGATCTGTATCAGATTTCACAGTCTTCAAGACTCAGTTGCCATTATCCTGGCTCATGCGTAGTTTGTAACATTACTCATTTTACACTAAATTTTGTTATGCTTCTGCAAATGTACAAGCAAAAACGAAAGAAAAAGTGTAGGCAGAATTTGTCATATCTGGTGGCAAGTGTATCTTCCTTAGCTACAGAATGAAGGATGAAACAGGAGCTCTAATTTGCATTTTGATTAATTTAATTATGATGCTGGAAAATAACTGGCAGAATTAAAACTTCACTGTGAGTCTCACCTACCTGAGTTAACTCTCTTGTTCTTGCTTCTCTTACATGGGGCAGTACTATCAGGATACAGGAGGGTTATAGCCCTTCAACCCTGTGAGCATTCTTACACACATGCACAATGTAGTTATCTGGCTTTTTTCTGCCTCAGCATCTTTTCAGTCCTTGTGCTGGCTAGGCTGGATGGCCCTTAATATTTTTGAAGGTAAAGGAATCTTTTACATTTTATTTATTATTTTTAGAAATCAACATTAATTACTGCTTCAGTACAAAGCCATAGCTTGAAACTTTTAAATTTTTAATATGTCTTCCTGTCTCATTTTTAAGGTTGGCCATCTGAAGTCGGAAGTTTATACAAGTGATCATATCCTGATAAGTTATTTCCCCTACTCTGTTCTTTATTATTGCTTTTTACGAAGTCATTAGATTACTTTATGAGAGGACAATAAAGGACAATGATAGATTTTATTTATTTATTTCTTGGGGGGTGAAGGGGGTGTGTGTCAGATCAACCAGTTAAAGCTGGTTTTTAAAAGAAAACTTTTAAGCGGAAAAACAGAAGCAGCATTCCAGGGTTAAAATCTGAATTTTATTTTTGAAGAAGATAGGGCCTTCTATACTGCATCTCACTTAGCTAAGTAAGTTCAGGGGATTGATGGAATGATGCGGACCTCACTGATTAGAAATTGCAGTGAAACCTTGAAAAAAGATGGGGAAGGCTCTGGTATGTGGTGTGGAAAGCATTGCTAGAAAGAAGGCTGTGTTAATGGAGAATGGGTCTGTTAATGGCAAACGGGTCTGTAAATGGATGCTCAAGAGATATGAGTTTTACAATATTCCCAATGCAGCTCTCTTGGATCCTGGGAAAACCCAGGTAAATGGTCTTTGGGGCTTCCTTGTCCTCTCAGAGACTAGGTGGACATGGGGACATTTGCAAGCAGCTTTTAGACAAGAGTGTGGGCACTGCAAGGGCACTTGTACTCAGGATTTCACTGCCATTCCACAAAGGCATTCATAAATTATTTTGAACAAAGCAAGTATTGTCCTGTTGAGGGGTCATGCGATTTTGTAGCAAATACTTCTTCATTGCCTCTAAAGGCTGTATTTTCAATGTTAATACTTGAGAAGTATGGCTTACTAACAGCAAGAATATATTGTGAGACATGTATATTGGAGACATACAAGGAAAGAATGAAGCTTTTTTTTTCAAGTAAGTCCTGAGAGGAATAAAGGCAGAAGTATAACTATAATTAATAAGGTATTATTATAATAAATGTAGCTGTACAGTTATTTTTTCCTTTTGTCAATGTCTGTCTTGGGAAGTGGACCGTGGCAAGAGCAGGATGCATGATGAGGAGTACCTGCTACATGAATTTCATAGACAGATTTAAGGTTATTCCTGAATCTGAGCTGCTGTTCATTGTATGAAGAAATTCCCTCTGTCACTTTTGCATGAAAGCGTCCTTTAAAGAGACAGTCAAGAAGGATCCAAGTGCTCTGTGTCAGTGATGCTTTGGGTGAATAACCCTTTGCTGTCAGAGATGTTTTGGGAGGATTTTCTCAGCACAGGACAGCAATCTGAGCACTCCATGCTACGCTTGATGTGAAGTAAAAATAATTACCACAAGACCTCTGGAAACAGGTCTCCTCTGTGTTTTTAAATGTCACATTCATATTAAGGAATGGGCTCTTGAGGGTTTTAAATCAGATATGTGAGAGCAGAGGGAAACTGCACAACAGTGACAGAAAGGGGGTGTCATGAAATGTTAGGTTGGCACATTCTGCATTTTTCGCTTCTTGATGTAATCAGGGCTGGCGTGTACCCCAGAAAGGTGGAGTCCATCCCCACGAGAGCTTCATCAACTTTGTTAAAATCCTTCTTGGTAGGATGAACAAACAATGCAGTTGTGGCATGGGGCAGTGGCTGAAAGCATAGACCTCCACAGACCTGATGCAACATGCAGCTACGTGTGTCTGGGAAGCTGTTGTAGCCTGTGCCACATTTCCATAGGATTTATTTTCTCTAATATTTAAACAAAGAGGTGTATTTGCACATCTGTTTGGCTGTTTGCGGTAAGGATTTTGCTAGTTCTCCCCACACCTGCAGAGATGGAAATACGGCAAGTTGGGCAAAGTGTAAGAAGGGTATGGAAGTTGTATGAGATAATGGCCATATTTTCTTTTTGTTGTACTTTTTTTTTTTTTTTTTTTTAACTCCTGAAATGCAATGGCTTTTTTATTCGTATTTTTTTTCACTAGGGGGAAAAAAAAGTAGCAAACCCCTTTATGATTGGATTATTTTGCTGTATGGTATTGACTTCTCAAGCCACTGTTTTGTTCTATGTATGAACAGGCACATGCAGGCAAACATAAGTCTTCTTCAGCATACTCTGTTGAGATTCCCACCAACAAGAAGAGCACTAGAGCTGCCACTGGTTCAGGTTAGGGCATGGAGGATTTTCAGGCTGATATTTCACTGGACAGTGTTCTGCTTCAAGAGTCAGGCTGAGGTCTGGGGCTAGAGCAGAGTGCATGGCTGCGTGTGAATCAGTCCTCTCTTCTGCTGCTGGTGGGGCTGCTGTCAGGATGGAGCCACAGCCCCAGGCACTTTAGTGTCTAGAAGTTCTGTCCTCAGCTGTCAGTCAGGACTAGATTTATGCTTAAGCTGCTCAGAAGAGTCAGAGTTGGTTCTTTCCTTGGGCATGGCTGTGTTCATATTAACACGTATGAAGACAGCCAGATTTCTATTAACTTAGAAGTCTTTCCAAAATCTTGCTGTTTTGTAACAGAAAATGGTGTCATAATGCACTGGAGAGCTCTCTGTGTTGTTAAATGTGCTACAAACCATATACAAACAAATGGCTACATGTAAAAAATGCATCTTACGTTCTGTAAGAAGTTTTTGTAAACATTTTTTTTATTATTAAGGCTTGAAGTTGTGGTGGAATTCTTGCATATTTGTGCACCTGTGCCCTAGACCTTGCTGGTCATAATGCTGGTTATTACTTTACTCACAGAGACGAGCATGTGCAAACTTGGGCTGTGTTTGAAGACAGCAGCTAGAAGGAAACTGTAAGGCAGTAGGCATGCTTTCTGTCTGCTAGCATGGAGAAACTAAATATTCTGTATTATTTTTTTGTTTGTATTGATTTTTTCCCTTAAGCTTTTGGCCTATTAATTGCATACAATCCTACTAAGAGGGAAGACACTAACACTTGTTAAATCTATGTGGAAGCTCTTGCGAGGCAGATAAAAAGTCACACCCAATTAATGAAACTTGTATTTAAAGTTCATAGCTATGTGGCGTTGTTCTTTCTCTAAAATGTTGTAAATAATGGTTTTGTATTAATTGCTGCAAACTTCTACCACTGAAACAGCTTTTATTTCCTTAATAAAAACATTTGGAAGTTAAGTAATTAAACAGTAAAGTGTTTTTTTTTCTGCTAAGTATATTCCTAGATAAACCCTATTTTTTCTTCTTCCCAAAGAATTCCTGAATTCATAAGAGAGATATATTGTTCATTGTAATGAACAGCTTGTTCTCCAGACAAGAAAATTACAAAGCATGAATTCTGCTCTTTGTTGCATGTCTTCAAATAAGAGATGAAGTTATCAGTTAAAAATACTTCTGTAAGGTTTTGCATTAAGAGCACTGGATGAATTTCACCTTTCCTGTATAGACAGAAGATTCTTGATCAGTGTTTTTTCTGTTTAGGATATATTTGACAGTGACTGGTATACCTCCCGCAGCCTCATTGGAGGAGCTGATATTGTTGTGATTAAATACTCCGTCAATGATAAGACTTCATTTCAAGAACTAAAGGACAATTATGTCCCAATGATAAAAAAAACATTAAGCCACTGCTCAGTTCCAGTAATAATTTCTGCTATTGGTGCAAGAAAAAACGGTATGTATCCAGTCTCCTGGAGTAATAGTAAAAATCTGACTTGGAATTTAGTTATGCTGCAATTTCAGCAGAAGCCGGTTGTTTTTCCAAGTTGCAATTACTTGGAAAAATCCACTCTGTCAGGATGACAGCACTATGTACATGTATTACAGTTCCATAGACTAGTGTACTGGAAAGAATATTATGCATAATTAACCCAGGTGATGAAGGGCATGCTATCCTGCTTTGACCCCTGCAACAACTACTTGTGGAGACATACACATAGAGATTAAACCTAGTCCCTTGAATGAAGCAGCTTACATTTGGTTGTTTGAGATGAACCCTATGGTTACAAGTTCTCTACTGTTATGTCTCAGGTATCAATTATTTCCACTGAATGAGATTAAGTCCATCAGCTTGAAACCACTGGAGTGGGAAAAGCCTCAAAATTCTCAGGGATGTTGTTAGATGAATGGATACACCAGCTGTTTGGGTACCACAAAGTGCTGTATGTTGCTTCATCAACAGAGTTGACCTCTCGTGGCAGACTATCTGTGGTATAGATATGGTATAGCTGTGGCATAACTTATGCTCTCACACAATGCCCTGTCCAGGCTGAGCAGTATTCTGCTATGAGAACAATTCAAATCAATTCTGCACTGAATATTTAAAGTTTTTGTTGTATTTCTGTTTAATCAGTATGAAAATCACCGTTACACAGCTGTGTAAGGACTAAATGGACTTACAAGAGTCCAGCAGCTGATACAGGCAAGGCTGCTGAGAACGTGTTCACAGTTTGGGTAGACAGTAGTAACTCCTGTCTGTTTACAATAGGGAAATAAAATTCAGAAACAATACCACAGATACCAATAGAACAAACATGCAGACTTTACTCTGTGTTTCCAAATGATTTGCACTGTTCTTTTGTTGATTTTCCTATGGTCTTTTTATTCATGGATCCTGATTTCTCTCTTTTTAACTAAGCCATGAATACAAAGTCTAAACCTGTTGGTTATCTTCTACTTCATGAGTTTGACTAAAACAAGTGTTTCTGAGCATCTTTTCTGCTATGAATGAGAGACATGATGGATGCAGATGTAGACCTTTTGTTTTAATGTACAAATGAATATTTAGCTATATGAAATGTGTTGTCTGTGAATGTAATTCTTGGTTTTCCCAGGGTCTACTTATAGTATACTTATATATAATTTACTCAGTAATTGAGAAAGAACTGTTAAAGAACTCTTAACAATTACATCTTTATTTTGTCCCTTTTAGTAGTTCACTCATAACGTTCAAATGTTTTTATGCTTTGTCTTACACAGGGGTAGTAAAACTGCCATTCTAAAGACAAGGTCTTGCTAAACTAATGTTTGTCTTTCCAACACCTTTTATTACACTTTTTATTTAAGCACAGGCTACCACCAGTCTGAATGACTCTGCTACTGGCATTTTTCCTTTCCACTCATTTTTTTCTGCCTTCCTCCCAAAATAATGTGACTGTGGGAGAAGTCAGGCTTTCCAGTTGCCATTTCGCGTTGGGACATGCTGAAGTGAACTGCTGTGGGCACACAGAACCCTTTTGTTTCTATTTGTGAAGGTATTTGTGAACACAGCAGTTTGCTCATTCAAAATACTAAGATCTTAATCCTCTGTAGTACCAAACCGTGTTGCCAAAAGAAAAAAAAAAAAAAAAAAAGACCAAATAAAACTGTTATTTCATGTTACCCATAGGTCTGAGCAGAGGAAATTAATGAAGAGCATGCACAGCACATTTGAAAAAGCATCCGTGGCATTAAGCAAAGTTGAACTAAGGTGGCTAACAGATTTTTATCAGTTAACTGGTATAATCTTAAAACTACCTATTTTAGATTAAAAAAAGTTTATGTTAAATGATGTGTAATTGAACCATATTCCACAGAGCCAGCAAAATTTTCCTTTCTGTTACTGTAAGTATTTCCTGCATGGGCAGGCCACAGTAACTGAAGAAGTTTAAAGGTGGCAATAGTGGTTGGTAACACCAGCAGGCTAGTACAACACTTGTGCATAGACGGATAGCCAGGCCTTAAGTCAATCCTGGTTTCTGGAAGTCCTGCTTGGCTTTTCAGCCTTGGCAAAACCAAATGTGAAATAACACTAATGTTATTTACACTGAGCTTTGCAGAACCGGTAATATTTTGAACTAATTAATAAGAAGTTGGCCTTGGGGTTTTTTTTCCCCCCTATTTAGAGATTTCTTACTATAAAACTGCTGTGTTTCCATTTCTCTCTTTGTTCTTTTCTAAAGAATGCATCTTTCCAATTATTTAAGAAGTTAAATATTCTGTATTATTTGACAAACATGGTTGATTTGTGCCACTTTTTTTCCCTAGGAGTGCCTTGTACCTGTCCACTGTGCACATCGGACAGAAGGAGTTGTGTCACCACTGCCGAAGGAGTTCAGCTTGCCAAGGAACTAGGAGCCACTTACCTCGAGCTACACACTCTCAATGACTTCTACATACAGAAATATTTTGGAGGCGTGGTGAGTGAGAAACCACTGGGTTCAAAGCAGGATGGCACAGCTGATGTTAGGGTTTCAGAGAGGAAGTGGAGGCACACCACAAGCCTTCTCACTGAGGTCAAGTTCCCACTGATGAGAGATTTAGATTAAATTTAAGGAAGAAGTTCTTCCCTCTGAGGGTGCTGAGGCCCTGTCACAGATTTCCCAGAGAAGCTGTGGCTGCCCCATCCCTGGCAGTGTTCAAGGTCAAGCTGGCCATGGCTTGGAGCAACCTGGTCTAGTGGAAGGTGTCTCTGCCCTGTGGCAGTGCGTTGGAACTGGGTGGGCTTTAAGGTCCCTTCCAAGACAAACCATTCCATGGTTCTGTCTGAACTGGCAGTACAGAGCTTGCTCTGGTTTTAACTACCTTCTAGGAAGGTTTAGAAAACCTATAGTACACACTGCAGTAATTTTCCTTCTGTTCCTGTCCTTTTATCTTGCTGGATGGGATAATGAAAACCCAACTGGACAAGGCACTTGAAAACCCTATCCCACTTTGAAGACAAGCTCTGTATTAAGTGGATGACCTCCATAGGCCCCTTCCAACCTTATTTATTCCATAATATTCTGGTATTTTTAATTTTAATTGCTTAAACTCTCACAACTCTTCTATTTCAAAGTGAGACCCGCAAGACTGTTTAATTGCCCCATTTCTAGTGTATTCTTGTGGTTGCTCAGTTCAGTCATTACTCAGTCTGCAATCCTGAGCAGAGCCTGCTGTCAGCTGCAGCAAAGCTGAGCGAGGCAGAAGTTAAGAGGCTTGTTAAAATGTCCCACCTCTAACGAGCTTCTTGTTCTTCTTCCACTCTGAAGGCAGGAAAGCCCACTGAGCAGTTTCTAAATACAGTCTTCCAGATTTGTTTGCCTTCACATATTTTTTTCACACAGACTTAATTTTCAGTTTTGTGAAGTGTTTTAAGCTCAACCTAATTTTTTAACCATTTGGATTTGAACACAAAAATGCGGGGTTTTTGGCATGGTAATTTCACGTGGTCTTCCCAACAATAAAGACTAGACTCTGTACTGGTATATACATATGATGTATTTTCCATGGGATTCAATCATAACTTGGAATATCTGGCACAACAGTAGCCCATTTTTATTGGATCCATTCATTCCCAATTAAAAAATGAGAAATTCATTCAGCATCTGGTCTGGCCAGAGTAATTTTCAAGGTTTTAGAAAGCACTGTGTGTGCTACAGTAATAGCTTGGGTGATAAAAGCATTTGGAACATGCATTAAGTTGTGAATGCTGCATCCCTGGTGGTGTTCAAGACCAGGTTGATAGAGCCTTGGGTGACATGGGTTAGTGGGAGATGTCCCTGATCATGACAGGGGGCTCGGAACTAGGTGATCTTAAGGTCCTTTCCAACCCTAACTATTCTATGATTCTATGATTAACTTGACCTGACTCACCCTTTGTGCCTCTTTGTTCCCGTAAAAGGGATCATTTCCCCTCAAGTACATTTGTATTGCAGTTATGAAGCCATTGCCCACAATGATCCTGTTGTAATGTGACTTTTTCAGAGGACACAGTAGCATTGCATGGTTGTGGCTGTTAGTTGCAGTCTGAAGAACTTGTATATTGTTATTTCCATCTCTTGCACCTGATCATCTTTTGTCAAGTCTTATTCTTTTGTGTAATTCTGTAGTTAGCATCTGTGGAAGTTCATAAATTGAGTATCTTTGTGCCTGTCTTTTCTGGGAAGACTAAATACAAGAGAATTAACCAACATAATTTGAATAAATAGTGTTTTAAATTGTGCTAGTTCCACACCCATGTGGTGCCTTCTGGTAAAGAGGTGTTGGGACTCTTCTAGGTGACTGTTCATAATGGCAGTAGCTTCAGTCCTGCATACAGTACCCACTCATTCTCCTTAGTTTGATGTCTAGCTTGCTCTTAAATAACTAGGATATTTTTAAAAATGCATTTCATATTTTAGCTGGAATATTTTATGATCCAAAGTTTGAATCAGAAGTCACCTGAAAAAATGAAGAGAAGGAAAAAGATGCAGAAGTGTCATCGAGTTCAACCACCTCAGCTTGAACAGCCAGGTGCTTGCTGATGTCTGTTCTCTAATATCATTTGTTATGTGTGTCATGTTCTTTGCACAATTAACATCTTGTATTCTTTATACTGTGAGCTGTGCTGTCTGTCATCAGCTATTCTAGTTATGTTTCTATAGTTGCATCAACCTTTACTGATGGTTTAATTAACTTGGGGAGAATTGTATAACAGTATGTAAGATTGCAATGGACTTGGAATTTCTTTTAGATTTAAATAATAGGGGTACTTTTCTGGTGCATTTGATGAAATAATGCAAAGGTGAATATTAAAAGCTTTAGAGAAAAAAGATAAAGTCATTATATCATTTATTATTATTATTCTTTATTATTTTTATTTTTCTTTATTATTCTACAATATCATCAATTAATATTTTATTTGCTACGAAAAAAGCAAGATAGAGGTGTATGCTTCTGCACATGGTTTCCTGAGCTTGATTTCTGAGCATCTGATGCATTTGTTCAGTAAAATAATTACTGGAAAGTGATCACCTCTAAACACGTAGTTGTGTCTTCTCACATGTGCTAGAAATAAGCTCAGATCCCTTAGGTTTGCGACTCATGGGCAAATGTTTCTTTCAAACCTAAGTGCCTAAAGAGGTTTTGTGAAAGGAGAGACACTGATGAAACTAAGTATTTCTTGTACTTCTTGTTTTACCATGCTAGGTATTTTAAATTTTAGCGTATTTTACTAGACAGATCCAAGTAGCATATAAGAAATTCTCTTATTAAGTACTTCTTTAAAAAATTATCCTTCATTTGGTCAGGTCTCTGGGAACAGAGTCATCCTGTTTTTTAATATTTGCCTCAATTCTACAACCTCATTCTTTGTCTTAAGTAGAAAAAATGCCCATCTTGAAGGGTGAAGCCTCGCACTATGATGCGGACCTGCACAACCTGCTCTGCTGCTGCCAGTGCGCAGATGTGGCATTCTACCCCGAGGACTTCAGCACAGTGGTGGAGGCTCACAAGGTCATCCTCTGCTCTGTCAGCCACCTCTTCATGCTGCTTTTCAAGGTGAAGAGCCCTGCAGACATCTGCGACACCTCCATCATGCAGACAGCGCAGAGCCTCTTCACGGTGGAAGCAGAGGCTGCCTTCCCACTGGCACCCCGCAGCATCCCACCCTTCATCCCGCTGCTGAGGGTGGTGGTGAAGGACTCAGCCTTCTGCTCATGTCTCCCAGACATCCTCCACTTCATCTATTCAGGTACCCACAGGGAATGGGTCTGGCTACTAATTTCTCATACGGCCGATATCTTGTGAAGGAGTATCTGCATCACTCTAAGGAATATGCCTTTGCTGTTGGAAGGTGATGTTCTTCCTTGATGCTGTATCCAATAATCCAACCTTGTGATTATTACAAACAAGGTCTGCATGAAACAATATGTAATAAAAATATATTCTATAATTACAAATACATTTTTTATGTATAAATTTATTAATTATTTTTATTAATTTAATAAAAATATATATTATCTGTCATTCTAGATCTAATGAAGATAACTTAAGCACTGTATTTTAATGAACAAAGCCCACAAGATAACATCAGTAGTATTCAAAAGCTTTGGCAAAAAAATCTGGAGCTTGAGAAAGTTTCGATCCCAGGATTTTAAGATACTTAAAATGTTTGCATGTTTTGAACACACTGATCAGAGTGCAGGGATACTTTAAAAAAAATCAAGTGATTTCTTTTCTAGCTACGGTGCTCCTGAAGAGAAAGCAGTGATAAAAAACCTCCGAAACAGTGGCTGTCTCATCTTTGACAGTGTTCAAGGCCAGGTTGGATAGGGCTTGGGGCAACCTGGTCTAGCTATTATTTCTGATTATATAGTTATTATCTCCAATGATAACTGGTTGAAGTACAGGTTATGAAGCTCCTATACATTCCATGAGTTTTTGTTACCAGCTTAGTACAGGCATTGCCCTGACCTACCTCATGCCAGCTATCTATTAAGATGGCACTGATAGTTTTATAACTATCTAGCTTAGGAATCCCCAGGTGAAAGAGAATTATTGTTTTCCTTCTGGAAGAACCTGATACTGTTTTGTACTTTATAAAATATTTTTCAAGTAGTCACTACATAAGAATATTTATTTTATAATTGTTGAAAGAATTAGCATGGTTTTAAATGAAGCATTCTGATTTTAACTTGAATTAAATAAAGTACAAATAATTATAATGCTAGACATTCATCTATAAAGAAGTTTAGTCAGTATCTCTATACTGATACCTGCTGACATATGAAAAGTATTTCTGCCTTAGTAGCTGAGACATGAACACAAGGGACACCTTCAGTTTTCAGTTAGAGCCTGCACATTGAAAACACCCCTTTCAGTTCTTTCCAAACCAGTATCAAATAAAAAGAACATAAGCAGAACTTTTTCAGTGTGGATTTATTTTTTATTTATTTAAATATTTATTTATTTAGTTGGTTGATTGATTGATTGATTGATGATATGAATAGGGAATTTAACCTGAAATTTCAGCAAGTGATAGATCTAAGTGTGGCATCTTCATCTGTTACCATTTAGAACTTGTGTCTGCTGCCATTTGTGCATTAATTTTACTTTTTACTTCTGTTTATGTCAACGAATGTTATAGGATATTTTGTACAGTCATAGGTGAAGCTGTGCTGTAAGCTACAGCTCCCAAACTGACAGGCGTTGCCAAAAGTCATTGCACTGTTTGGTGCTTTTGAGTGGTGATGAGGTTTCTCAAAGACACCTGAGTTGAGGGTTGAGAAGAGATCAGACATGAGGAAGTGTTTTCATCTTTTCAGTACCATGACATAAGTGTGAGGTTATGAACACTTACCATCCATCTGGTGTATATAGGAGCTGATGGGGCTACAGATGCCATATGCTGTATATGCTGTTTCAGACTTTTCTGCAGCAGAATGCCTTCAAGGCTCTGCTGACTCGTGCTTTACCCTGAGCTTTATCTGTCTCTGATTCTTCCTTGCTGCATGGCCCTGGGGATCAGAGCTGAAAGTTACCAGAATGCCCCATGGCACCTTTCAGACTTTCTCCAGCAAAGTGTGTAAGGATAAATCAATTGCTTTAACCCTAGTCAGTACCTCTCATTTTTCCAAGAAATCTGTTAGGATCATAGACTGTTTTGGGTTGGAAAGGACCTTAAAGAATTAAGTATTTAAAAAAAAAAAAAAAATTTAGAAGAACACCTAGAAGAATTTTTAATATTGAGATACCTAAGGGCATATCATGGCTTTGACTCCGAAAGCAAACATTGTGCTGCTTTTAGTTACTGGTACTCGTAATATAACTGCGAGAGGTTTTTCTGGTTTGGTCACCTGCAAAGCAGTGTGGTGGTGGTGTTTTTATTTCCTTAATGCCTACCTGCATTGTGTAGAGATTGAACTGGGAGGAATTCAGAAAATGAATTTGAAAGCAAGGGAGATGCTCGTCTGTACTAGTAACATTCTAGTAAAACTAGTAGCAATCTAGTAAAAAACACCATTGAAGTTTTATTGTGCAAGAATCACATCTGGCCCTTTCGAAGTACAAAGATCCGGCTGATTTAAGTGCAAAAAATATAGTTTCTGCAGGGTCTGTTTGTCACTGATATAATTTTTTCTCTGCCTGCTAAGGCCTGTGCCTTGTTGATTTATATTTCAACTCTGTCTGGTCTTGTGACAGGTGCTTTCCAGTGGGAACGACTAGAAGAGGATATAAAAAAAAAGGTGAAGGATCCAGAAAAAACTGAAAATGTGCTTGACAAAGTTAAATGCATCCTGAAAACCCCAGGGAAGGTACATCTAAATCTCTTGGGGTAACTGTTAGTATTAGTTACGCTTAAGTTCTTGGGAAATTGTTCTGTAGGTAAGTTTTTCTTGCCAGTCTTTCTTTTAAACATACTTCAGCTTATGCAGCTGAAGGGTTTTTGAGAGTTATGTGCAAAATAGAAACACAAGGATGCTGATGTCATGTACGTAATTAATGTAATCAGTAAAAAGCACACAAATAGGTATCCTAAAAGGATTACTCATATTCACAGCTTTACACATTGTCTAACAACATGATTATGTGAGCTAATTCTCATGTAATAAGAGGCTGCCCAGGAAAGCTTTGCTTTCCTGAATATGTGCCAAAAGTTGTGCTTCTGCAGTAGGTCAGGAGAGCTGGTTTCCCTTACAAATATTGTTATGTGTAAAGCTGTCTATAACTCAATATATTTAATTCAGCAGATGACTTCACAGTATAATGCAATTTATGTTACTTTCTGATGTTAATAAAAAATTACAATACAGAGTTACTTTTAACAGCAATTTGTTGGTTGAGTTTATACATTCCCTGTTACTGTAGAACTTGCACAAAGTATTTCTGTCAGTTTAAAATGGAAATCGTCTCAGACTGTCTTGAGATAAGCTAATAGGAAGATCAGAAAGTTACTTAGCTGCTTTAAGCTTCTGATTATTTGATTGTAGCCTTCCAGTCCTGAGTGTCCACAGCTAAAAACTTTGTAAGGTTAGACATAGAAAGTCCTGAAAACTTTTTAAGGTCATAAGCCTGAGTTGTTGTTGTTATCTTTAGGGTTTGGGTGGGAAGGATGTATGACTTTGGGGCACTTTTATTTCACGTTTTAAAACCTTTTGTTCAAAGGCAAACAAATAAATTGTGATTTTTCTTGATAAAATTAAAAATTAATAAATCAGGTAAGACTTTAACCATAAATTCAACCTCATCTGAATTTCACTTACTGTAATCTAGCAATATGATTTTGATGTTCTTTTGGTAGTTTTATATTCCATTTTCAAAGTAAGAAAAACCTCTGCCCACAGGTGCTGGGTGGGGGAGGTCATACAGTGCCAAGGTGAGAGCTGGAGTGTGACTGTAAGAGACAGGGATGCCTTGGAGCTGCTGCACTGTGGGACACAGGAAAATAAACCATGACTGCAAAGGACTGTGCATGTCATGGACATGGCTGAGTAGCATTAGCAAAAGAACATAAAACAGAAAGCAAAAGGTTGTTATTTAGTTTTCCCATATAAATGATGTCTTGTAACCTTTTGTTCTGTGGGCAATTGTACGTGACAGTGTTTTATTAATAATTTATTTTGCAGTTAAACACTACAAAAGACTGCAAATCTCAACAGATGAAACGGCTGTATAATACTTCTCTCAGGCTGTTCTTTAATACACCTGTCCTAGCTGATGTCATCTTCAAAATACAAGGTATGGTACCTCTGCTCCTGGTGGCATTGGCTCCGTTGCACCTTCAGCATTTATATTGCTTGCAGGAGAGAGGGAAATAGAAGTGTCTATTTTCTGTAGCACCAGAACTAAGGAAACGTGTATATGCTTTGCTCTCACTGTAGAGAGCAGCTTTTGCTTAGAATTAATGCTCGCCTTATGGACTCTTTGTGGTAGTATTCACTCTCAGTGTGGTTTGTCACTGCTGCGCCTGTACGAGTGCCCTTTGCCTGACATGGTAGACTTTGTGCCTCTCTGATTGGCATGCATCCCTTGGAGGCTTAGCAAAATGAAGGGTGTGCCTCAGGAAAGACTCCTGCAATGACATAGCATCAAGGTAACAAGGCTACACCAGGGACTGCATCACAGGCGATGCTGATTTTATTTTAAGTTACTCATCTCATGTTCCTACCTGTACAAGCACTAGGGGATATCACAGAATCCTGGAATTCCAGGCTGGAAGGGACAAGATCCCTTCCAGAGATCAAAGATCCTTTGTTCCAACCTTTTTTGGCAAAGCATGACCTAGACTAGATGTCCAGCGCAATCTTCACAGCATCCAATATTGGGAAATCCACAACCTCCCTGGGGAGATTATTCCAGTGGCTAGTTGTTTTCATTGTGAAAAATTCTCCTCTTATGTCCAGTTAGAATCTCCCCAGGATTAACTTGTGCTCATTACACCTCATCTTTTCTATGGGACTTCTTGTAAAAAGGGAGTCTCCATCTTCTTTGTAGCCATCCTTTAAATACTGGAACACGGCAGTAAGGTCTACCCTGAGCCTTCTGCCCAGCGTCAAACCTTGAAGAGTTACGGACTCCAGTGTCCACATCTACACTCATTGCCCTTAGTGAAAAGACTGCAGAAGCTGGTTATTGATTCTTGACCACCTTCCCTCTGCCTGTCTCAGGCTGGTGCTGGCTGTGGACATGCTTTTTTGTACATTCTAGAAGCTGACAGGGACTTGTATCCCCCTCCTGTGCTTTCTTAGACTTTACTCACAGCCCGTCTTCCTCCAAGGTGAGCACCCCTAGAACTGCACCTAAACGTTCATGGATTTTGAAGACCTACTAATCTAGGTGCCATCAACACCTGCTGTGTTTTGCTGCCCTTCTAGATGCTCCCTTACCAGTCTTCATGCTTCTGTCACAGTCAACTTCTGTAGGGTAGGTGATTCCTTCTGAAAGCAACCTTCAGTCTTGCAGGGGCCTAGGCTAGACCTGCCTGTTGCTTAACCCTGCAAATGTGAAAAACATCTAAATTATTGGAGTTTTGTTGTTTTGTCTTGGGGTGATGGTAATTACGTAATCCTCACTGTGGCCAGGATTGAAAAGGTGTAGGGAGCAGAGACTAGCTTTCCCTGCTGACTTGTCTGTCAGAAACTGTTAAATTACAAAGCTTGGTGATGGTGTTCCATAGGTCTGCCCACAAAGATGCCAAGTGCTCCTCGGCAAAAGCATGGGCAGGATCCATGCTGATGAAACCATTTTCTTTTCCCATTTTGCCAGCAAAAGATGTGCAGGGTGTACCAATTTGCTGCAGTGTCATGGCTGACATTTTTCTGGAATTGTATCTCAGAGCCAAATACGAAGCATTAATCCTTCAAACATATGCACCTGAGGACAAGCATATTCTTTCTAGATATTCTGTTTAATATGCAGAAAAACCAAAAATGATCTTTGAAAATGAGAGCAAAATACTGATGTTGAGTTTAATGACATCAAAAATCATTTCACTGTTCCATTCCTGAGAAAGGCTTTGTGGGAAGTTGATTAAACCATACCACCACTATATATTTTGCAGAAAAAAAACCCAACCCTGCCCTGGGTTGACAAGGAGTTAAAAAAAATGTGCTTATCCACTCCTAAAATGTGAACTGATGTTCTTAATGTTTGATAAAAGTCTTCCAAGCCTTTTTCTCAAATTAATCAGCCACAATAATTGTATTAAGATTAACTAATTATGAAGAGAAACTGAAGGCTTTAGAAGGCTAAGCTCTTGGTTTGGCAAATATTTTTAATTCTTCAACTAATTCCTTGAATATTTGGGGTTGCTTTGAGCTTTCTAGCTTACAGAAGTACTTGGGAGCCATTGAAAATGGGAGCCCATGTTGTCTGTGTAAAGATTCATAATGTGATTGACCCTCCTAATTAGTAGGTAAATATCCAATTGCATGCGCGTACACAACTGCATGCATAGCTTATATATTCATCGTGTAATGCTCATGTTACATGTGTGAATATATAATACCATTGACATGTTCTGTCTATATGGAAATATATAAATTTTGTATGCCATATTTTGGAAGTGGAATCACAGGTGAATAGAAATAGTACAAAATTAAAAAATGACAGATGTTTTCAAGGAAATAGGTAGGTGGCAGGATTGTGGTTGAGGAGGAAATGAAGACAGTAACTTCTATGTAAGTATTTGAGTATATTTATCTTGCATGTAAATTGATCTATTTATTTTAATTTTGATTAAATCCTTTACATCCAACTGTAAACTCTTGTACTGTCTTTGGTTGCTATCCTGTTTGGCCCTTTCTTGTGCACAGGACCATTGAGTTTATCTGAGCTCTTCAGAGGTCTGAGGGTCAGTGCTGGCAGCTCAGGCTGTCAATATTTTCATTAAGAGACTGTAAGACCTCTGCTACCAAGGCTGTTAAACTTAGAGGTATTCTAGATGTTGTAAATGTAAAGTAAATGGTAAATTAGTCATGCACACATATTAAAAAATGGAAACATTTCTAGAAGAAATTATCAGCTTTTTTTTTTTTTTTTTTGGTAAGACATCCTTCAGGAAATTTGCTTAAGCAAAATACTTAATCTGGTTAAAGTCATACTTAGTAGATTTAAAGGAGTTTCATCTGGGATAATTTGCCTTTCTCTGCTTTGTGTGGTTATGTGAGTTTGACTTCTGGAACATGCATTTGTTACCAATAGGATTGCTGAGGAATGCAGGTTACTTATTTGCATATTTATGCAGTGGGCGAGAGGTTCAGTTTCTGTAAACTGGTGTTAAGTACAGTGGCATCTGATTTTTTCCTACTTGAAAGCCTATTTCTGACTGATAAAAGTTTGCCAGATTTGGAGAACTTGGTGTTGGGACCAGTTTGTCGTAATAAATTTAGTATTTCTCTTTCCTTTTTTTGCTAGCTATGAGAAAGATGTAAAATCTTGACTGGTATAAAGTGAATATGTTATTAGTTATTTGTTGGATATTGTTAATTTTAAACACCTTAATCATGTTCAGTGAATTGGAGGCCTTCTAAGAAAATCAGAGCTTTAAAGTCATGATCTTTCTGTGTATATAAAATCATCATAGATTTTTATCTTGTGTCCTGCAGATGCGACTGTACCAGCCCACAGAGCAGTTCTGGTAGCTCGCTGTGAGGTAATGGCAGCTATGTTTAATGGTAATTATCTAGAAGCAAATAGTATTCTGGTTCCAGTGTATGGGGTTTCCAAAGACACTTTCCTCTCCTTTCTAGAGTATCTTTATACCGACTCCTGCTGTCCAGGTAAGAAAAGTCAAAAATGCACATTTTTACTCATTTTTCCACAGTGGGGCACTGATAGAGAGTAATATAGCAGCATTTACATTATTGAAAAATGATTTAATGTATAATGTCTCAAGAAAAAGAAATTTTCATATTATGCAATAAAAAAATCAGTCTTATTCAAGTAAAATCAACTGCAGACAGAACAAATATCACTAATAAAATGTTGTATTTGTTATGTGCTTACACAGCAAGACTCAAAAATCAGTGAAATTCCATTTCTGGTCCATTACAATATAAGAAATTGTCTTCTACATCACAGTAATATTGCTTTTGAATCATAATTCTTGGGTTCATCCCAAAATTTTCATTTTGTTTAGCATATATTTTGTTACATTTAAAATAATCAAGGTTAAAGTGCAAGAATACCTTATTTATACATATGAATACCTTATTTGTGTGTAAATCCTCAAAAAAGTATGTCATCTGGAGTATTCGGTAAGAAAAATTGAGCTGCAGTATTCCTTGTGTCTTAACCATAGTCTTTTTTAATAAGAAGAAAATTACATACTAAATATGGAATATTATCTAACTACAGATAATTTTCCTTTGGGATAGTGAATGAATAATGCTGTGATATGCATTTTTGCTTTTGTTTTCAAATAATTCTACCTTATTATTAGGTTTTCTCTTGTTCCCTTTTCAGTCCATCTGCCATTTCCCTGTCCATCAGTTTAAATATGCAACCACTGTACCATATTTAAAAAAATAATTAAGTGTAATAAATCTTTATTTATATATATATCTATATATATTTTTTTAGATATATGATTGCTTCATTTTATTTTGGGCTTTTTTTTGCTATATTTTCTTGTACATGTATCATGAATGTTCTTTTTTGAGAGAGATATTAGAAAGCTAATTCCTTTTATTAATCATCACTTACTTTAAATACATCAACAGCCCTTGATGAGCTTCTTCAAGACACAGGGTATTGAACAGAATTTATTATGCCTACCTTATAAGAAGTACTAACTAAAGTACTCTTTTCCTGTTAATTAAATAGGAAAAAGAGAGTGGTATAGCAAACTTAGATCAATAATAATGAAAAATAAAATAAAATGATCAACAGCATTTTGATTTTATGTTCATTGTTAGGTGTTTGAAAGATGACTTGGTGAAAACTGGCTTTGATCATATTGTCAAAAAGGTAAAATACATGTAACTTGTGTTTTCTTGTTTTTCAGCTGGTATTCTCCAAGCTATGTCTCTCTTGATCTGTGCAGAGATGTACCAAGTAATGAGACTCCAGCATATTTGTGAGCTTTACATTATCACACAGCTTCAGAGCATGCCTAGCAGGGAGCTGGCATCCACAAGTCTCAGCATTGTTAGCTTGCTCAAAAAAGCTAAGGTATGTGTTGCATGGATCACATGAGAACATATATCTTAACCCTAATTAATGGGGGTTGTTTAATTGTTAAGATTTTTAAAAATCTTAATATTTTCTCTTCCCAAGGACAAACACAAATATACAGCCTGTTGACCAGGATTATCTGTGTCACGAGGCCTTCAGTCTCTGATTGCACAATGTGCAGTCATAACACAATCTGTGCAATTTCCTTCATCAGGGACACATTGCAGTAATTCAACTTAACTGCAGCTTCTGCCAGAAAAGGTTTATTTTGGGCCAGTGAATATGCAGTACTTCTCCTTTTAGTCATGTAAGTGGCAGAGAAGATCCAACCTGATAGAATATTGAGTGGAAACCATGGAAAGCATGAAAAGACAAGACTGGAGGCTGAAAAAAGAGAGAGACAGTAAAGCCAGACTTGGAAATCAGAAGAGGAAAATAAAAAGATGAATCATTTACAGTTCTTAGGCAGGATGTTGTCTTAAATGAACAGGATTTTGTGGTGGAAGAGAAGACCACAAAATTGACATGCTGCACTCCTTATCTTCCTTTTTCTGAAGCTGTTCTGTGACAAAAATTTCTAAGCTTCATGTCCAAAAGAGCCCCAGGAGTTAGATCACACCACTGGGGTGGGGTGGGGGGAAGTATTATTGTTTGATCTTGAGTCTCCATCTGTTTACACATTTATGTCAATGACTTTTTCTCTGTTATCTTCTACAGTCAAAACTTTATTTAGTAAACTTGTCAGTGGAATGGTTGTTTTAGACCTGATAGCACTAAGTATTGTTTGTTTTCTTTCTTCTTGCAGTTTCACAATTCCGATTGCCTTTCAACTTGGCTTCTTCATTTTATTGCCACTAACTACCTCATCTTCAGTCAAAAGCCTGAATTTCAAGATCTTTCAGGTAATTTACCTATCACTTTTAAAACAAGAAATGCTTTTCAGTTCTGCTTAGATTAGAAGCAAGGTACTGAACAATACTACATCTGCATGAGAAGACAATTAGAACTTCTGTAGGCCAGAATCTGTGTGGGCTAGATGGTATATCACCATACTGTGGACCAGCATGTGACACATGAAAAACAGAATGTCTAGCAACCACATCGCCTTGTATTTTTTATTCCTGCACTGATGATAAGGTTCCTACCCATTACTAATTCAACTGGGACACTTCGGTCACTATGTGTCAATCCCTCTACTTTATGTATGTAATTTTGTTTAGTTAGTGCTTTAGAATCAAGGTAATGAGTCACTTCCAATACCTGCTTTTCAAGGGCTGGGCTTTTCTTTGAAGAAAATGGGATTCTGACAGTACCTTTCAGCAGATACCATGAAATCAAATAACTAATGTTGATTTAAATAAATAAACAAGGTTCTTCCAGGGAAGTTATATTTTCCCAAACTCTGTATACATTTCTTGATATGTAACTGTAGAAAGTTTTGCTTATTGTCTGTGGGAATTTTCAGCACCCTGATGAAGGTAGTCCTGATGGGTGCATCTATTTTGATCCATGGTTTGTATTCAGACCATTGGTATGGGCCAGTGTATTCCAGCTGGGGATTTTGTTATCAATGAGCTGAAGCTTTGTTTGGTCCAAAGTACATTGAAAGAACTCTTTCCTCTTTTGCAAGGCTTGTATATGTATGTGTGATAATGGATGACTGTAATCATTATGAGTGAAGTAAGGAGAGCTAGACCCTCCTTGTTCTGTTTGGATCTGGAATTTGTCTTCTAGTGGCCCGTCTATGTATCTTCTGAAACATCCATTTTGTATAGCCAGATCTGGATTAAACATGGGTTAACCCTGTGTTGTCTTAGCCACCCTGAGGCACTCCTGAAGCTGCAGGAGTCAGATTGTCCCAATCATTTGGTGAAGGTAGGAATTGTAGATGACTTCCCCTTGGTGAGGCAGGAGAGCACAGAGACCCTTCTGATTTAGGTTAGTGCAGGACGCAGTCTAGGCACATTTACTTACCCATTTGCCAGTGGGATATCAATTTATCAATATTGCCTTTTTTTCTTTTTCCTGTGAAAAGTAATAGCAATAGCAGTTCTGCCTCCGTATTGCAGCAATCCTGATGGGTATCAGGCTGCATATGAGTGTGTCATGAAAGTTCTGCAGTGATATTTCTGATAAGGATCACTTATAAGCACTTGTCACGTGTGCTCTGACAGCACCTGAGTAACTCAGGGTACAGTATCATCATAGCAAATGTTTGCTCTGTCATCACCTGAGGTTTCCTCTTTGCTTCCAACCACTGGTATATTCCACCAACTGTGTCCATATGGCTGGTAGCCTCTTCTTTGCCTTTCTTCTTCCTCTGAGTCCCTTCCACATGGTTCACTGAGGGGCTGACATGTTCTGCTGCATTGAACTTGCAGTGAGATGGCCTGAGAAAAGAAATAGAAGCATGTAACTAAATATAGGTGGGTGGGTAAAATTGTTCTGTTCCAGCTTGCCAGGGCACAAACACCCTCCGGCACATTCAGAGGAGAGCAATCTCCCCAACAACAGCAGTTACAGGCAGCTGGCCTTTCTTCCTGAGGGCACCATGACACTACATCACCTCATGGCTTGGAGAGCCATGCAGCACAAAGCAGCAGCTTTCCAGTGGCTTTCGACCACTGAAATCTCCAGGAGCAGCCCTGTGTTTGGCACAAGGTAGGCAGAAAGGCAGTACCTGCTGCCCTGGCCTTAGCCCTTCCCACACTGAGGATTTTTCTGCTGAGCCTTGGTCTCCGTCCAGCTTGGTCTGAATACCTGAAAGGATTCAGGAAAGTCAGGGAGCAGCGGATGACAATGCATATTTCTGCAAGGCAAAGGGATTCATCCAGGCAACACATCTGTAGACTATTACATGACTGTGTCAGAACAAAAAACACATGTAGCACAAGTAAAAAATCTTGAGTTCTGAATTGCTCCTCTTACCTTGCTTTTTGAAATGCTCTTGAAACGAACTGTTGCCATAGGTAGTTGAGAGCCCCTCCTTGATAGTGTTGCAGCGTGGACAAAATCCTTGCAGCTGATTACCACATCTGGTTATCTTCTAGAGGTAAAGCACATTGATCTGTAGGATAGCCTCTGTTCTCTTTAACAAGTATTGTTTTTATTTCGTTAAGTAACTTCTTTCCTGGTAACTTAATAGCAAGGGAACACTGTGTGGTAACTCTCTGCCTGTACTCCTGTAAGCTCTACATAAGATGGACAGCACTCCTCTTTACTGTCCTAGTTGTGTTTATGTCCTTAATGATTTTTAACCTATTTTATAGGCTTTTTGCAGCTTCTGCACTTGTGCGGTATGTTTGGATATTACATTTAAATTCCTTTATTGCTTTGTTTAGTGGAAGAGCGCAATTTTGTAGAGATGCACAGATGGCCTTCGAATTTGTACCTGAAGCAGCTTGCGGATTACAGGAACTACATCCACTCTCAGAAATGCCATTGCACAGTAATGTAAGAAGACTGAGCACATGCGAAGTGCTTCGTGACTCAGAAACCTCAGAGTGGGAATTACACAAAGGATAAAAATCCTTTCAAGAGCAAATAAAATACCAATCTACCGTGGAACACCATGCTGTAGCTCACCTACTAATATTCCTTGCTTTGGTACTGGACTACTACTTTTCCATTAAAGCATGGAAAAATGTATTATGAAGATTTATTTCAAGCACAAGAATTTCATAACCATGGGGATTAACTGTAGTACAGATCATGTCATGACTGTCATGCTGTCATGTGCTCCTACTTCTGATGTCTGCATTGATTGTTTTATTGGTTTTCATGGGTATTTTTTGGCTGCTAAAAAGGCAATGGTTGAAAAGAGATTTTTTTGTAAGTCAGTATACAATAGTACCACAGTAGTATTGCAGAAAAGCTGAGAAGCCAGCTCCTAAGTTCTTTGAATATTTCAGAATCCAAAAATTTATGGCAGCTTCTCTTGGTTTTCAAAGTAAAGGGTAGACATACTAATCATTTTAGATATGATTCATTTTCTACTTCAAGGTAACTCTCTAATTCCTTTTGCAGAACTCCTACTGTTGTATAAGTAGATATTTTAATTCCAGAAGAATGCCTATGTATCAATGTATTACCTATTACTTCCCAAATATCTATAAATTGAAACAGTGTTTCCTTTCAATGAATAGGAGAAGACGGTCTGTTTTAATAACCTGTAGAACACCTTTGTTAGCGTGTACATATTGTGGTTTTCCCCATGAGGAAAAGATTCAGGGAGAACCAAGTCCACTTAGAGCATATTGACATGGTACTGGTAGGGACTGGACCAAAAGGGAAGGAAGTTGATAGCTTTGCATGGCTTCGGTGGGAAAAAACTCACTGGCCCTGGTGACTTTTTTGGGAACAGTGGGTCTCATAATCCCGGGTACCCCCTGGGGGCTGGCGGCACTGATGTCAGATTTGCTGGTTGTGGAGGGGGCGACCCTTATGGGTTCGCCAGTCTGAGGAGGAACATTGGCTTTTGATGTGACTTTGAGCTCTACCCTTCCCAATGGGGGCTCTGTTTGAACTGAATTGTCATCCTGTGTTCATAAGCTGTGCTGTGTGAGATAACCCTGGTTATCTTTTGTGGCTGTGTGAGTTCTTTCTTGGATATAACAGAGAAATGCTCAATGTTATCATGACCCTTGTAGATGCTGTTGGGAGTTTTCTTGAATTAAATCATTAATTTGTTATACCAGTAGCTTATAAGAATGTAGTAATATTAAAGACAAAATGAGCCCAGCCTTTGCACAGGGGTGCCTGTCTGAGCATAGGTACTTTTCTGTAAATGAAATCTTTATCAAGGAGCTAAATGCTTCATTATAATTCTGGTACTTATGATTCTGCTTTTTGTTATGTAGTCTTAACCAAGAAAGACAAAGAAAAGAGACTGGAAAATTACTTAGTGTTTCCACAATGCCCACAGCAGATCGCCTCAAATGTGCCTGAAAACTGCAGCTGGGAGATGAAGATGGAACAGAAAATTGCTGGAGCTGATTTCTTTTTTTTTTTTTCTGTCATAAGAATGGTTTTCATATTTCAGAACCGTTTTCTCAATAAAATGTTCTTTTCAGATTTCATGCTGGAGTCATAGGGATTTTTTGGTTTTTTTATTTTTCCTGGTGATGATTTGCAGAGCTTGAGAGGGTATTTCCTTTCCTATTTGCTTTCTGTCTGGAGACCCTAAGTTCTTTAAAAAGATGAGGGCTACTTATCTACATCTTGCATATAGTGAGTGTGAAATACAGAGCATTACACTGTTTTTTCAAGATCACTAAAGAAAGCTGAACACATTAAAGAAAAAGAATAGGCAAGTTATATACATGGAACTCAAATGGGAAAAGATAATTTCCTATCATAGTAGAATTTAAAAGTTTTAACTCTACATTAACTGAGTGTGCAAATAAAGCAGGTTTTTGGAGCATAATTTCATAAACAAAAATGAGCATACAGCTGAACTGCAGCTTGCCTGGACACCTGATGGCATCCTTGGTGGCAGCGCATGCTTCTACCAGCAGCCAGCTGCATTGTCAGTAGTATGGATTATTTGTCTGGCACTGACTTCTTGTACTGGTACAAAATCTGCGTGAACATTTGTCTGCATTGCATGTAGTCCTAAATTTTTAACTCTTTGAAAGCTCTTCCAGGTTTTTTGCCCCAAGTTACTCTGTTGCCGGTAATTCCTGTATAGATAACAAATAACAAAGTCATACTTTTAACTTTGTATGAAGTTTTATAGGCATTTAAAACTAGAAATGGAAGTACAAATTAATGGAAATACAAACACTTTCTAGTCAACCAAGAGAAGTATTTTGCTATTATGTATTTTAGTCAGTAGTAACTATAGGTTTTATACAGAGAAGCTAGCCAGTGTAAAAATATTATTTATTTACAGATTAATGCATGCTACTCTATGGATGAGTAATAAGAGCATCTCTTACTATTCAGACAATAAGCCAGCTTGCCATTTTACTGAGTATCCCCACAATGCTGCCTGTGTCAGGTGCAGATGTGCTGTTCTGGCAGGCATAGACCATCTGAAAAAAATGAAATTATTAGAAGACTTCTTATTATAAACTCTTGTTTTTAATCTGTAAGATGATTTTCCCTAGAAAAGTGTTTATCTTCAATGTGTTTTTAAAATGGATACTTCAGCATTCATAAATGTGACTGAAAGTAGTTCCTGATGCTTTGATGCTTGGTGAGTTGCCGTCAGTAAGGTTATTATTTTAGCAGAGGCCTTAGAATCATAAAATTATTATTAGCTAGGGTTGGAAAGGACCTTAAGATCATCTAGTTCCAACCTCCCTGCCGTGGATGGGGACACCTCACACTAAACCATGGACTGTATCTGTCACAGTCAGGAATTAGGCCAGTACTGAGTCTGGTATTTATTAATATCTTTGCATGGTATAAAGCAAAAAATGCTATGGTATAAAAAAAACTCAGCACCTTTATACTCTGGTATAAAGTAAAAACCAGGAACCAGCTGGAAAAAAAAAAAAAAGTTATTTAATCAAGTGGTTTTTAAGAAATTAAAATGTCTGAGGAAAAAGGCTTCCATTGGTGCCAGCATCTCCCACACTCTGAGGCCATTACTGAATTCTGGTGTCCCTAGGCAGGTCTCGGAGTGTTTAGGATTATAGTTCAGACTTTGGTTTAAGTGGAGTTTTGATGCCCAAGCATCAAACTAACATTGAGCTAACTCTTGAAATCCACTTTTAGAAGACAATTTTTTGAATAGCAGGTTGCACTGTACGATTTTCACTGCACCTATAGATGTGTGTGCTTGTCCCATGCTAGCACTAAAATCTCGAGAGACTAACATAGAAATCTTTTGCACAGATAACATTTCCCACACGACAGCTAAACAAAACTCTGTGATCGTCTTTTAGGTCTTGGTGTATTTGATCTGAAAAATCTGTTAGGAGGAAGAAAAGCTATTTTATTAGGCATGTATTGAAACTCCTGAATGTTGCATTTTTAATATACCCTGGCTAAATGTACATGTTTTCAGATTGAGTATGTAAAATTTTGTTACAAAATAAAAACTTTTCTCTAGTCATTCTCATGTGATTATTTACCCGTGCACATTAGAATAGCTGAGAATTACACTGGAAATATATTTGTAGCTTATTAGAATCACAGCATGTTTTTGGTTGGAAGGGGCCTTTAAAGGGCATCTCATCCAACCTGCTAGCCATGGGCAGGAGCACCTTCAACCAGACCAGGGGACTCGAACTCCATCCAACCCAGCCTTGACTTTTCCAGATGCACCACTTCTCTGGGCAACCTGTGCCAATGTTTCACCACCCTCGGTGTAAACAATTTCTTCTTTCTACCTAGTCTGAATCCCCCCTCTGATAGTTTAGAACCAGTTCCCCTTGCGTAATTGCTACGGGCCCTACTAAAGATTCTGTCTCCAGCTTTCTTATAAGCACTCTTTTAAGTATTCAATAGCGCAACAAGGTCTCAAGGAACCTTCTCTTCCCCAGGCTGACTCAGCCCAGCTCTCAGCCTGTCTGCAGAGCAGAGCTGCTCCAGCCCTTGCAGCATCTCCATGGCCTCCTCTGGACTCGGTCCAACAGCTCCACATCCCTCTTGTGTTGTTGCCCCAGACCTGGCCACAGGACTGGGGGATTGGGGGGGGGGGATCTCCCCACAGCTCAGCAGAGGGGGAGAATCCCCTCCCTTGATCTGCTGCTCACACTCTGGGGGTGCAGCCCAGCACTTAGGGGGTTCTGGGCTGTAGTGCACACTGAAGCTGGCTCTTGGGGTGTGTCTCATCACCCAGCACCCACAAGTAGTTCTCCTCCTCAGGGCACCTCTCAAACTTTCCCCAACCTGTTTTCATATGGGAGGTTGTCTTGGCCCAGCTGTAGGACCCTGTACTTGCCCTTGTTGTTACCTTCAAGAGGTTGGCACCGGTCCATCTCTCAACTCTGTCCAGGTCCCTAAAGGTCCTATCCCTTCTCTCACGTGTGTTGACAACACCACTCAGCTTGGCGCTCTCTGCAAACATCTGGGTAACTAAAAACAGGTAAAGGAGTGACACAGAGTCAAGGTGGACAAAAAGTGCTGTAAGATGCTCATAGCATCCCCTAGGTCCCCCTGTGCTTTCCCCTGGGTCACCCATGGCAGTGTGGCCTGACAGTATCCCTGACCACACAAGGGGGTGATGAATGGTTTGCCTAATCCTGGGAGGAGCACAGGATTTATTGGTTATTTCCCACATCTAAACAATCATCACACTGTATTTCTGGGAAAGTAAATTTTGAAACTGGTCGTGATTACAGGAAGAGGGAAGAGACAAAGGATGGAGTCAAGAAGACATTACATGGCCTCAAGCCATGACCTCTGTGCCGGGCAAGAGTATGGTCAGGAACTTTGGGTCTCAGCGCATGAGAAAGAGACAAAGGAAACTGCTCAGCCAGTGTATTTCAGTGGCCTTTTCTGTCCCTAGATCCCACTGGGAAGTCAAATCGAGCCCAAATATTGTTTGTTAATCATAGCGATTTGTTATCTCAGCCTTCAGCACCTCTGCTGCCTCCGTGGCCTTGGCATGAACCCGTTGCTCAGCCCGGGACAAGACACCGTCACTCTCTGCTCTGCACCCCAAGACGGCTGGACGCGGAAAGGGAAGGTGGAGGGTAGGGATGCGCGGTCCCCAGGCTGCAGAGCTGCGCGCAGCCTCCACCGGGAGGCAGCATTGCCCCCAC